TGTATTAGGAGTGTTGACAAGATTGGATGGAGACAGAGGTGAAGTTTGACTTTTAAAATAAAGAGACAACTCATCAAAGGTGACATCTTTTGACACAAAATAACGGTTAAGAGAAGGAGAAAAACATTTGTATCCTTTTTGTAATCTTGTAAACCCTAAGAAAACACATTTATGTGATCTAGGAGAAAGCTTGTCCGGACTGCAATTGAAATTATGAACAAAACATGTAGACCCGAAAACTTTCGGAGGTAAAGGATGAAGTGGTTCATGAGGGAATAAAATGGAATGAGGTATTTTATTATCTAAAACCGAAGAAGGCATGCGATTAATGAGATAACATGCAGTAAGAAGAGCATCACCCCAAAAATGTTGAGGAACATCTCCATGAATTAAAAGTGTGCGAGTTGTTTCAATAAGATGTCTATTTTTACGTTCAGCTACACCATTTTGTTGAGGTGTATAAGCACAAGAAGTTTGATGCAAAATACCGTGAGAAGCCATGAATTGTTTAAAAGAATGAGAAAGATATTCACGGCCATTATCACTACGCAAAACTCTAATAGAAACACCGAACCGAGTTTGAATTTCATTAAAAAAAGTTTGAAAGATATGAAATAATTCGGAACGATTTTTCATCAAAAATAACCAAGTGCATCCGGAATAATCATCAATGAAAGTAACAAAGTATTGAAAACCTAAAGTAGACTTAACGCGGCTAGGTCCCCAAATGTCGAGTGAACCACGGCAAAAGGGGACGAAGCACCACGTGTGAAACTACGAGGAAAGGAAGTACGACTATGCTTGCCTAATTGACATGACTCACACGCCAAACTAGATAAGTTAGACAAGGCGGGGACAAGTTTACGTAACTTGGCAAGGCTTGGATGACCTAACCGAGCATGAAGAAGAGAGGGAGACTCCATAACCGTACTAACATGTGTAGAGGAACGGAGATAATAAAGACCATGAGACTCACATCCTGTGCCAATCACCTATTTCGAACTCCGGTCCCGTAAACACACATAATTGTTGGTAAAAGTAACAACACAATCAAGAGAACGAGTTAGACGACCGATGGACAACGAGGTTAAAAGGAGACCCGGGGACATAAAGAACATTATCAATGATTAAAGAAGGAAAGAGTTTAACCGTTCCAACACCATGAGATGATACTCTAGAGCCATCGACCGAGTGTAACGAAGGTAAATGATTAGGAGAGGATAAAGAGGAGAACAAAGATTTGTTACCGATAATATGATCGGTGGCTCCTGAATCAAAAACCCAAGGACCAGGAGAAAATGATTGGGTCGGACCAGCGAAAATATGTATTTGTATGTGTGATAGATATAGTGGAACTAGAAGACTGTTGATCCTTATACCATTCGAGAAATTTGTTGAACATAGCGAGACATGTCGGATGCAACAGAAGAAGGAAGATCCCTACGGATAAAGGTGGGGAAAGATTGGTACGAACAACTACAGCAGATCGAGGAGAACGACCATGTAATGTATAACACTTGTTAATCTTGTGACCTAGCTTGCCACAATGTTCACACTTAGGACGCCGTTTTTCCTGTTTGCGAGGGCGAGCCGGTCATCACGATGGGATGTCAACACAAAAGAATCGTTAACAAAATTGGAAATAGTGGAAGAAGTCATGAAGAGCGGGAGAACAAACCCCGACCGAGACAAGCAAAATCATATGTCACCGGTAAAAAAAAATGAAACTCCGCGAATTCTCCGACTGCGGCGGACCCGATGGCTCGCTCCAGCGCAGCGTGACGAGTGAACGTGAACTAGTACACTAGGTAAGTTCCCGGGAAAGAGAGGTGGGTCACTAATGGACACACTTAAATACCAAGTCTTTCCTTGCCGGAACTTTCCTAAACATGCACTTTCACACTACCAAATAAAATTCAATGACAAAGATAATTCTTTTCGATGTGGAGGATCGGTTTACCAGCAGCGGTGGGGCGGCTCTAGCGACGGTGGGGCGGCTCCAACAGTGGACAAAAGGCGGAAAAAAATTCAAGATAACCTTAAGCTCTAGATACCATGTTGAATATAAAGAAAATATAGTTTGGAATTAATTTCCCTTGTGTATAAATCACACATAGGGTGGTCTATTTATAGTAGAGAAATACAACTAAAAGAGTGAGCGAAAGTAACAGAATAAACAGAAGATATTGTTTGATATTGTGGTTACCAATATCTAACAATATCTTAACAATATTAAATAATATATAAACAATATCTAACAGTTTTAAATTTTTTAAATAAACTATATATTTATTAGTTATTCAGATAACCAAACTAAGTCATAATTGAAATTATAATTTTAATTATTCGTTTACGTAGTTTAATTTTACCATGTTTTTTTAATGCTATATATAATGTAATTATTAGTTTCTATAATAATCATTAAAAAATACTTTTACGATAATTTTCAATTTTAAATAATTTCTTATATTACTCTTAAAATTTAAAAATACCATTACAAAATCAATATATAAAACAAATATATGTCAATGATAAAAAAAATGTGACCGACAAATTGGTCATTATTTTTATTAGTGATCCATTTTATCATTTAATAACCAATTTTTTATCACTATTCATTATTTATAATATTATATTATATATAATTTAGTTATATTACTGATTAATGTACAATATATATAAAGCAAGTGCTCAAAGTTAATAAATAACGTTTAAATTTTTTAAAAATGATTTTTTTTAAGGATCATGGTCTCTAGAGCTCCTTATCACATATATATAAAATTTAATAATAATAGTTAGAATAAATTTTGTTAACTAAAAAAGTCGTCTCATAAAATTCTATTACGTGGGGAAGACTTGCAAAATTTGCACCATTCTAATTTTAATGGTCAAACTTGGCGGAAAGTTATTTTTAGTGTGCAAAAATGATGGGTCAATTTTGTGAACATTGGAAAAATGAGAGCGAAAAGAAGGATCATAAACAATAGGCATGGTATGAAACATTAACAAAACCTAAAATTAGAAAAAAGGCACAACCTTGATAATTAAACAACCCATATGCACACTACCTAATGCAGCGTATTGACCCAATCAATGTCTTTTCTACAATGTTTTCAAAATTTATAATAAAATATTAAATAAAGGTAAATATATTTAATAGATTTAAATTTTAATACTTTCTTCTATCATTAACAAAGATATTTGAAATTATATAAAATGTTTATATTCCCAATCAATATATTTATGCAATATTTTATCAAACTTGTAGTCATTCTTAATCTCTAAAGTCTAATTAGTTATTATGATGCTGTTGGGTTGAGTGCTACGGAACTTATATATGTTAAATACATCTCAGCTTTATGTCTTTTCAATAAAATACATATAATAAAAAGTGGAGACTCTACTAAAATGGTAAAATATGTTTATTTTTTAATTAGATTAATCATCAATAAAATATAAACTTAGTGAATACTTCAAGCTAATAATATCAAATGCAGCAACAATTGTTATATATAATAAATTTATTAACTTTTACAACAATTACTAAAAATGTTGTAATACCATAATTTACAAAAAAATTAAATTAATTTTAAAAATTATTATACGTATAATCAAGTAGTATTATGATTGATTATAATCATGTCGGTAGGTTGTTGTTTGTATAAATTTGTTGATATATATATATATATATATATATATATATATATATATATATATATATATATTCCAAATTTTAATTATTATCTTAAATACAAGAGTTAATGCAAAGCATTTATTTATTTATTTATTTTTATAATCAAATTCTTTTATCTTAAACCAAGGCAAAATGTCTAAAACAATTTTTTATTTAATTTTATTTTTTAGTTTTTAAAAACAAATTTAATAAATAATTTTTAATTTTTTTAGAATAAGTTAGAAAAAAATATTATTTGATAAATGTAGTTTAAAAACTGTTTTAGGAATGAAAAAAATGAAAAATTATTTAAAAAAAAAACTCCTTTGGTTATCAAAAGAATATATGAAAATTATTATAAAATATGTTTCTTTAAAAATATTTACAATTTTATCATTAATAAAAACTAAAGAAAAACTCTCTTATATGTTGTGTTTTGATGGTTTTAAAGAAAGAAGGAAAATTAAAAAGTAAAACACCTTTTAATAATTCTAATTTTTTTTTACAGTTTTTAAAAACTAAAAAATTACAACAATTTTTTAAAATTATTTGAATAAAATAATTGCTAAAGAAAATTTTCAGTTTTTTTTTCTTTTTCTAAAAGACTAAAATATTAGAAAGTATTTTTAGAAATAATAATCAAACAAGCCTTTGTTTTATGTTGCAAGTCATAATCATTTAAAGAGGAAGAGCAAACCAAAGGCCCAAGGGAGAGTATACATAAATGAGAGTATTTATAAGATGTATTTTTTTTCTCTTAATTGTAAAGGTTAAAAAACAAAAACTCTTCTCTATTTATTATTTATTTTAACGTAATAAAGTGAAATTGAAAAAAAAATGTACGATGCTTTTGATTTTTTTATAAAATTAAAAAATAATAGTAGGAAGATTTGTTATCTAATGTAATTTGATGATTAAAGTTAAAAATTGAATAAAATTATTTATATCGATAATAACACCTAAAGAATTAAAATAACATAAAACGACAACTAGAGACAAAATTACTTATAATTAAAAATCAATAGACTAAAATTGTTAATAATATATAGAAATCAAATTTACGAATTTTGTAAAATACAAATATCAAATTTTCAATCACTTTTATTTTTTAAATAAACCTTTATAATAAAGAAGCAACATATGAGACTTTTTTTTTATTATTATTAACTTAAAAAACAGAAGCAATTTTACTTATACTATCTTCAAAATCCATTGAAACATTTTATGATATTGTTTACGTAAAAGAGAAATATGAAATATGCCAAATTTGATTTCGACACAGATCAAGCAAAAACGAAAGACTTACACGAAAAATATTTGAATTAGACTATTGAATAATACCTAGACATATTAAAAAAAATTATGTTCAAAGAAGTATGTTATTGAAAATATTAATCTATGAATTGTATTTATTTTTGCATATAGGTTTCTAGATTAGTTTTAATTCCTTGATTTTCCATCTACCTATTATATCTATATTTTATCATTATAAATAAATGAATCTATATTTTATCATTATAAATAAATGAATCATATAAGAGGTGTGATTAAGCTTTGTAAAACATATTTTTCTTTATTTTTTACTCTTAAGTTGGTATTAGAGTAGTTAATCTCGTTCTGCTAGTTTAGAGTTTTCTTTGGTAAAATTTTGTCGTTGTCATTTTCTCTAGCTTCATCCGTACGCCGATCACCGTCTGTACGCCAACCACCATCTATTTTTCTCCGGTGACCATTGGATTTGGATCGTCTCCTTGAGTGACAACCACCCCTGTTGGTCCGATACCGTAATTCTCTAGCATATGCCTCCACGCATGACTTCTCTTCGGGGGTCTTCTCCCCGCATGTGGCTCACGCATTGTTTTTCCTTCGTCAGAGCCTCTCCACACATCGTCTGTGGGTATCACTAGACCTCCCCGATCCTCTTTTGAAGCTGACTTCTCTATTCCAACAAGGTTGAAGGTCTCCACGTGTGGCATACCTATGTTGGAACCATTTCAGCTACTCCCAAGGTCTTTCCTTCATTTGAATATCTTCTTAGTCTCAGTAGTGTCCAACAAAATGTCCTCTGAACCCTTTGTGTCCTTTTCTAGGACTCCTTCAATTACATCTAAAAACTAAATGGGAAAGTTCCTTAGCCAAGGTGTTCATGATCACCTTGAAGAAGATGAGATTTCTGTACCACCTGATAGAGCTAAAAAATGGAAGCAAACTGACTTTCATCTTTGTGCCTTACTATGGCAGTCGATAAAAGCAAAATTACTTGGTATCCTTAGTGAATTTAAAACATGCAACTCTTTTTGGAAAAAGGCTATCCAGTCATATCATGACATGATGTCCTTCGTGGGTGAAGCTCAGTCTATTATTGAAGAACTAAAGATGTTCCTATAGGATGACTCATTAGAAGAGACAAAGAAGAAATTGGATAAGTTCTATATGGTAATGATTCTTTGTGTCATACATCTTGATTTTGAACATGTAGAGATCAAATTTTAACTGGACAAGTGGTCTCATCCATGGATAACTTGACAACCAGGCTTCTTCGGGTTCCTTCAATTCAAAAAAGGAATGTTCAAGAACCTATGGAATCCTCTAATATGATATCCGCTTGCGGAGAGGATGAAATAGTGCTAAAGGGGGAAGAGGCAGTCGAGGACTCCCTCAATGTGCATATTGTAAAAAGATGGGTCATGTACAAGAGAACTATTTTGCACTGCATGGTTTTCCCCACAAGACAATTAATATCTCCAAGGCTGAAACTACTGAGCCCAAGTTCTTTGATGAAGAGTATCAAAAATATCTGAATTGAAATTCAATAACTTACCACAATCATCAAGTTCCAATCCATCAACAGTTTGCATTTCACAATTAGTGGAAAGTCAAATCAAAATCCATGGATAATTACTCAGGTGCTTCTGATCACATTTCTAGTAATGCAACCTTGTTTTCATCTCTTCTCTTTTCCCAAGAATCCTCATTCCATTACCTTAGCTAATGGTTCTAAAGCTCCTTCTAAAGGAGTATGTCAAGTTTTCCTTTCACCTTTTTTAAATTTAAATTTTGTTTTGTTTATACCTTCTTGTCCTTTTAATCTTATTTCATTAATCTAATTAACCAAGTCTTTAAATTGTTCAATAACCATTGATGCCAAATCTTTTATTGTATAGGAATGTGGTATGGGGCAAATGATTGGAGAAGGACATGAATCTAGAGGTTTATACTATTTTTGGAGCTAGCCCACTTGTGTCCTATTTTACATCTCAAAACCCAACTTGTCAAAATTAAAAAAATTGGTTCCTGAAATTAGTTGTCTCCAAATGTTGGAATGTGAGTCATGTCAATTAGGAAAACATGATAGATCATCTTTTCCAAAGAAATCTGAGTCAAGATGCAATTCTATTTTTTCTATTATTCATTTTGATATTTGAGGTGTAAGATTTATAGGCTGAGATCAAGGGGGCGCTGAATTGATCTTTTCAAAATTTTTGCAATTTACAGATACAGATTACCAATTTTAAAGATTAAGAAATTTGACCAAGTATTAAACCAAATAAAAACAATCATAATTAAAAAGGGTTCAAGAAAAATTTAAAGAAAGTGATGAAAGAGTAAAATAAACACCAAAAATTATACTGGTTCACCCAAACCACTGGGATACGTCTAGTTCTCAACCAAATTTCAGTTGAGTTTCACTAGATTGAAATTGTTTTGATTACAAAACAGAATTACCAAAACATTCAACTTGTACCAAAAATCAAATTCCAGTTCTTGTACCCAGCCTACAACCAAGTTCTAGTTGTAGAACCAGTGCCCAAACTTCCAGACACTAAGACAGAAAATAATGGAAAAAGTAATGAAAGAATGATGAAACTAGAATAATCAAACCCGGTTATGCAGATGCAAAAATTCCACTACAGGTTGAGTTTCTTCACAAGCAAGAACATAAAAATGCCTCAAAAAAAGAACTTCGAAAATTCCCACTGAAAATAACACTCTTCTCTCTTGAAAATATCTCTATTGATTGCTTGAATGACTTCTAAAAGGTGTGTTTTAAAATATTGAACCAAATCTATTTATATAGAGATTTCTGTAACAAACTGGTTTAATTAATCGGTTAATTCGTCTTTTGATCGATTAAAAATCTTGATTCTAACTGTTTTAACTGATGAAAATATCATTTAATCGATTAAAATATTCTACCATATTTTCCAAAATTATTTGAACTGATAAAAATGCGATTTAATAAATTAAAATAGTTACCCAAAAATCCTGAAGTGATTTTACTCGATTAATAAACTGATAGAACATTTTCTAAAGCTTCTTAAGTGTTTTTAACTGATAAAAACTTGGTTTAATCAATTAAAATAATTAACTAGAAATTTTTAAGTGATTTTAATCGATTATTTCGAAGTTAGATTGATTAAAATACTCTCAGAACATTTTTTAAACTTACTTAAGTGTTTTTAATCGATTAATTCAAAGATGTATCAGTTAAAATACTGACAACAGGTTTTCCAAAACTTCTTTACTGAAAATAATCGATTAATTCAAATATATATATCGATTAAAATAACGACATTACATGCTTTAAGTGATTTTAATCGATTATTTCGAAAATACATCAATTAAAAATATGTCAAAAGTGTTTTTAATCAATTAATCTGTAAATATATCAGTTAAATCTGAGACTCAAGAACATATTAACCGATTAAAAAGATTTTTAACAAATTAAAAATATTAGAGGCAATTTTATCTTTTTCAAATGATAGAACCTCATGCAGTAGGAATGAAGGGAAGATTATACCTATTTAATATTGATGCAGACTCAGTAAACACTACATCCCATAACCTATAAATTCTCTGACTTCATCAAATCTTCCTTTATTTAAAAGAATTCTTTGACTTCATCAAATCTTTCACATCTTCAATCATCATCGTGAGGGCCTAGCCGTGTCTCATCATTTGGTCTCAGATATTTTATTACTTTCATTGATGAATATTATAAATGTACGTGGATTTATCTCATGAAAGATTATTTAGAATTGTTGCCTATCTTTACATCCTTCTTGAATGAAATAAAAAATTAATTTGATCAAGTAATTAAAATCTTAAAAAGTGACAATGCCAAAGAGTATTTATCCTCTCATTTCTTTGAAGTTCTAAATTTGCATGACATTCTACAGTAGTCCACGTGTCCCAGACTCCTCAGCAAAATCATATTGTTTAAAGGAAAATATACACTTGGTTATTGCCCGTAGCCTATTACTTGGTGCCAATCTACCGGTCCATCATTGGGGTGATGCTGCTCTAACTTCTTGTTTTCTTATTAATAGAATGACATCCTTTTCTCTCAATAATATGATTCCTTATTCCATTCTCTTTCCCTAAGAACCTCTCTTGCATATATCTCCTCGTTTGTTCGGTCGTGTATGATTTGTTCATTATTTATCCCCAGGAATACATAAACTTTCAATTGAAAAACATAGAATTCATTCTATAATTTTATTCATATATCTTTTAGATACAATACCATGTTCTTATAATATTTTACTCCTACAAATCAGGACTAAATAAAGTAAGTTCTGATTATGCACTATTTTGTACAACTATACAAACCTATAATTTAGCTAATCAAATATCTTCATCTCAACACTCCCCCTCAAGTTGGTAAATGGATGTCATACATTCCCAACTTGTCCAATAATCTCCTAAAAATCTGACTTGTCACAACTTTGGTAAGAATGTCTGCCAGCTGATATTCAGATTTAATATTTAATAATTTCAGAATATTTTTATCAAGCTTTTCCTTGATGAAAAATCTATCAACCTCCACATGCTTCATCTGATCATGTTGGACAGGGTTGTGAGCAATGTCGTGTGCAACTTTAGGATCACAATATAATTGAATGGGATGTGTATGTGCATACCCTAAATCCTGGAGAAGTAGTCTGACCCACAAACCTTCACAAAGTCCAAGAACCATTCCTCTAAGTTCAGTTTCTGCATTGGATCTAGCTACAACTTTATGCTTCTTGTTTTTCCATGTGACAATATTACCTCCTACAAATGTAAAGTATCTAGAGGTTGATCTTCTATCACCAAGAGCACCTACCCAATCTGCATCAGTATAAACTATCACATCCTTGTAGTTGGAGTTCTTCTTGAACATAACTCCTTTTCTAGGAGTGGCTTTTATGTACCTTAAAATCCGTATAACAACATCCATATGTTTTTCACCTAGATTGTGCATGAACTGGCTAACCACACTAAGAGCATAGGCTAAATCTAACCTGATGGTGTGTGAGAGATACATTAATCTCCCTACAAGTCTTTGATATCTTCCCTTGTTAGTTGGAGTTTGATCTTCTTCAATGCATAACTTCAATCCCCTTTCAATTGGAGAATTTGTTAGTTTGCATGTTGTCATTCCAGATTCTTTCAGTAAATCCAATGCATACTTTTGCTGTAAGAGAAAAATACCTAACTTTGATCTTGAGACCTCAATTCCAAGAAAATCCTTTAAAGGACCAAGGTCCTTCATCTCAAATTCCTTTGTCAAGTACTCTTTTAATGTCTTGCATTCCCCTAGATTGTCTTCTGTAACTATCATATCATCAACATAGACAATAAGAATCGTAATCTTTCCTTCCTTTTTCTTTAGAAACAAGGTATGATCTTGGTTGCTCTATTGATATCCAAAAGAAAGCATTGACTTGGTGAATCTACCAAACCATGCTCGTGGTGATTGCTTTAGTCCATACAATGACTTCTTCAACTTGCATACCTTCTTGCTATGTGTATCCGGGATCCCACATCCTTCTGGTAGCTCCATATAAACTTCTTCAGACAATTTCCCGTGTAAGAAGGCATTTTTTACGTCAAATTGTTGTAAGGACCAATCAAGGTTTACAACTAGAGATAACAATACTCGCATTGTGCTAATTTTGGCTACGGGAGCAAACATTTTAGTGTAATCGAT